AATGACGTCAAAGACTACTTATGTTTCAGCCATCCGGTTGTCTATCGAGAACAATACGCTGAAATCTGTAACTTTAAAAGGATAAGAGAGCGGTGGTTATATTAGAAAGTTTTAACTCTCTGATGGCTGGAAAATATTAATAGTACCTAAAGTTCCTTATTAGTACCTTAATAGACCTATAGTTCAGCGAGAGTAAAACCAACTGTAAGTGAAGAACTATCCCGTGTACCATCCAACTTATCCATCAGTACGTCGTAAAGTTCGCGAGACTAAAAGTTCCTCCGAAACGAACGTACCGGTAGATTGGGTGACGTGAGCAGGGTCCTGTGACGCTCTCGAGCAAGCCATTCACAAGGGTCTAAAAAGTCGTACAGGTCGTACACAAATAGGGTAGGTATCGTCCAGCCATGCCTCTACCCATTTTCGATTTATCAAGCCCTAAGTGCGGATAAATCTTATGTCGAAAGCATAATCGGTCTACACATAAACATCCGCTCTGGCTGCCTTTGACGAGGACGTTATCCGCAGTACTTAAACGATCACCATAGTTAGAACTACTACTTTAACTCCAATTTAAAAGGACACAACCCTAATAATGCATTCAATCTGTCGAGGACAAATCTGGTTTGAACTCACAGCTGCTCATAAATTCCAAAGATTATTATTCTAGCTAGAAGGCTTTTGGTAGTTGTAGTTCGATTGTGTTCTCGAATCAACACAATATATGATCACTTTTACCTCCAGATTTACCTCTTAAATGTTGAAGATAAGTTGTAACAATTCATGTTGACTGATAGATGCTTTAAAGTAATAGTGATAAAGTAATCCCACTAAAAGTCTAGTTGCACTAAAATCGTAATATTTTGTTAGCTCCACCGTTAACCAACCAATAAAAACCACCGTCCAATTGGCACAATCAAAGCGTCCAACCAGTAGGAAGCAAACTTGCATGACCCCGCCTTTGGACGCCTATGCAGAGCGTTCCCACATAAATTTAGGCTTCCATTGTGGTGATGATACGTCTCCGACTCCCCATTTTACTGCTATTTTTGTTAATTATTTTCACCGGAGTATTGCCAGCCCCGCAACAGGATCCCGGTTCTAATATCGGGACCACCTCGGACTCATTTAGCCTCCTGGCTGTCAATCCTCTTTTACCGCCTGCCAGATTGAAAGTGTATAGGGGGCAATGGACACCACTTCTACGGCAACATCTTCCGATCACCAAACGAGTCCTCCGAAATGGACGCCATGTATGTCGCATTGAGATGGAGGAATTGGCGCCCATCTTCTCCGTGGTTGGACATCTTGAACCCAAAGTAAGCGAAACTATTCTCCTCCTCCTTCTCGTTTGTCACCTTTGCTAGTGTACCGCTTTAAGAGATTAATTTATGTGTGATGTAAGTCGGAGGTATTGAGATTAATGTTTTCACGAGTCTTAAATCACGCGTTTTTTAATAAGTACACCACGAGTTGAAAGGATGGTGAAATGCGTACGTCAGCCCTCATAATTCAACCCGTATGCATGCGCTCCCATAACCGTCTCTGAAGGCTTTTCAGACCAAGTGCTTTGACCAGATCCATGGAGTTAAAACCCTACTTGAACTTACTTTCTGCTGAGTGCACAGCTTTTTTCATTCGGATGCAAACCCCGTGTTTCGTCGTAAAATGACTTGGTCAGTGCGCAATTTGGCCCACTTTATGTGATTTTAAGAAGCAATTTGACCTAAAAATGCTCACAAGCAAAGAAATCTATGGAAATGCGAGGTGTCATGACTGTCTTGAGCGGTCATGATCCTCCAGCGTGGTTCTTTCAAGACCGATATGAGTAAAGTAAGTTTCTCAAACGAAAATACCGTGCTACCTCACAAGGGCTACTTTGTGTGCTCCCCTCTCTTGTCTTTCAAAAAGGCGTTCTTAAGCTTGTAGCAGATGTTACATTTCTTCTGGTTAATAACCTTTTCCACTGCAGCCGCTGAGTCATGGATGAAGCTCCATGAACCACCTCTAGCCACGACAAATTTTCTGGGATCAAACATGAGTCAGTTAGAGGTAGAAAACAGAAAGCGCATTTACAGTCCCATTAAGAGTATTTTGTTGAGACCGATCGTTTACTTAGTTCTGCGTTTTTGGAACATGATATTCACCTAGTAATCCAGAATGAATGTCTTTTAGCTGTATCAGATAATAGTAGGGCCACTATCGTGCCTCGGAGCTGTGTAAAACGAATCCATTTCTTAAAAGCATAAATTGTATGCTAATCCATTTTTTTGCATCACTGCGACAAAGAAGGTTTGCCTTTGAGGCAGACGAGTTGTCGCCTTATACTTCTTTCCTTTAATGAGAAGCGATAAACCCCGCCGATTTCCATCCATCTAGGTGATTGTGGACTCACTAGCCTCGCCAAGTTCTTCGTTTGTTGGTCGATCATTCGTTCATAACTAGTGCAATTAATTTCAAAATGTGATTAGCACGAGCAAAAACGAAAACTTTTGCCATATCACTTTTATTTTGTTCCTTTTCCAATTCACTCACAGATTGGAGGCCTAGGGATTTCATTTTTTCTGGAAAAGGCAATATTTCGTATTCAAAAGGAGCCTCTTCCAAAAATGTAGCTCGTTTTTTTATGAAGAAATGGAGACGAATGTTCACATAAACAGCCTTTGACATTTCGACTGCGGTCTCTAATAGATGGCGTTTTGAAAGAAACTTTGTTCGTATTTTTAATGGTTGCCAGTTCTAATTGTATTTCCTTAGGGCATGTTATCCAAAGGTCAGAGTAGTCACAGGGCTGAAGCTTTTGATGTCATCCAAAAAAGGTCATCGAAGTCTCTTTCCTTTTCTCTCTAATTAACCTAACCTATTTGTTCGCGGTAGAAAGACTTTCCAATATAAAATGCAAAAGACGTGTTTTGTGACTGAAGCATTTGCCAGGGCGTCTAGTAACTGCACACGTCTCAACAGTAATCCCTTCTCCAGAAATACGATCACAGACGTGGTTTACGTAGTCCTCACCAAATGTCCATCAATGATTATTTCGCCCGGTTCTACCAATTAATCAGGCCTCAAGCAAGGATTTTTTCTAAAGGGTTAATTGCAAGGCATAATTCATGTTACAGTTTCATCCATCAAAGGAAATACTTGATCTGATTAGTGAGAAGCCTAGCCTAAGTCTATTTTACTTGTACCAGGCGCATTTATCCCTACGTTACATAATAACTGGACAGTTAAATCAGCCTGCTTGCTACATGTCTCCTAGACGCACAAATAGACGTATAACCCTCAAAAGGTGGGTGGTCCCGAAGCTAATGCTTCTTCCTACGGCTTGAAGACGAATTGCACTTGTGTTGAGTTTTGGTGGCTGACGATGGGAGCATAATTAGACACCGAGGAGATACTAATGTCTGTTCGACGGTTCATCGTTGTTTGTACTCGGTAGTAAACTTTCATGAACTTTCCTTTCCTACTTCAAAACAGGGCGTCTTCTTGCTTACCCTATCTGTGTTATGCTGGTCTAGTTGACTTTTTTATCCCTGCAGAAATTCGACTGTTCCTTCAGGGATGGAGAAGTGCGCTACTACCATGAAGGCAATCCGCTACTAAACATGGACACAGTTCGAGTAACAATCTTCTTCTTTCGCAACAACCACTCCATCATCCAGACTGCGGACATCCCCGTGGATATAATGGATTTGCCTGAAAAAGGTGGTGAAATGGATCAAACATTTCCACGACCCAGAATTCACGGTCCTCTTGAACTTAACGTGAAGAGTATTAAGGCTGCCAGTCAGGCAATCAGCGCGTCCGTTTTAAAAATTGAGTGCGTCTAATTGTGATTGGTTAAAAGGTCCATTTACATCTATGGAATGTAAACTCGTTAGTCCTAACTTTGTTCTTCCTAAGTGCAATAAGGCACCAGAACATTTCGCACTTCAATTGCTTACATCCACACATGCTTAGTTGCTGAGGTAGCTCCCAACCCATCGGTGCGTTGTTTTTCCCACTAACCTGTTGCAGTCACCAACTTAGAAGACTGAAGTAGTTGAGTTGCTGTAAAAATTTGGCGTTTTAGTCAGCCTCATTAAAATTGATATTTTACTTATGCCAAGTCAGCAACTCATTTGTCAGATGCAAAAGAATGGTTGGTGGTCTGACTTAAAGAGACGAATTTGGTATGAAAAAAATTTCCAACCTGGCCAACTTGTCATCAATCACGAATACCCCTACCAGAATGCACTTTCCACACCGTCAAAGGCTAATGAATTATCAAAGGAAGCTATTATCACTCACCAGCGCTCCCTGCCATCATTTGCACTACATGATAACAAAGTTCTCCGTCCATTATTCACCATCCACAAAAAAGCTCTCAAGCACTTTGATCTTCTGCAGGGCCTTGCTTTTTTCCTTCTACCAAACATCAATTTGATATTTTTCTCCAACCGCGGACTCTGTTTTCCAAGTCAGCTTCAAGACCACTCCATAATGGAGCTAAGGCAAAATACTCTCGTTTCCTTACTTCAATTAATTGAAGGAGAGCGCTTCATATAGGGCTGGAGACAAATACGTGTCCACAACAAATCATAATAAATACCCCATTACTTGACCTTTGAACCATTGTAACTTCCATGCAACTTGTTTTTAGAATAACTGCTTTATTTGAATTGTAATAACCAATAGCTACAATCCAGAAGAAGAGGAGTGTTGCCTCTCCTTCACACGACCCGACATACTATCTCCGGGCGAACAACGGCGAAAGCAAAACCAACTGGAATCTCAGATCGGACGTCCTCTGGTGACACCTTGGTGGGAGGCGAACTGGGGCCTGTGGACACCGCGTCTTGGGCGTCCCTCAGCCAGCGGACCTGCTATTGGGGCTAGTCGAAGGTGGCCCCTGTTTGGCCACATTATCGCCGCAGCCTTCAACAGAACCGCTGTCGATCATTTTGAGCATGAGTGTCATGAGGCTTTGCTCAAGGGATATAGGTGAGCTAGGCGAATACAAAATATTCCAAATGAATGAATTTCATCCTAACAACGCAATAATGTTTGTTGGAATGTAGATCAACCTGTTCTTGTTACCCTGTCTCAGTCACCGAACGGCAGTGCATTTTGTTCTTTACGACGTAAACATGTTTACGGATTCGAAGGTAGCTGTGGTGCAAATGTGTAGAGTTTCATATCAGCAGTTTGAAGGTCTAATAGCTGACGAGTGTAAGCAATCACACTTATATTAATAAGGGAAACAAATACCACTTTTACCTAGTATCTTAGCTTTATCAACCCATCCATCTGATTGTAACGGGCATAGAATCTGTCAATGTTGACAGTTTAAGCAATCACCGTGATTCAAATAACCTGTATCTCTGCAATAACCGAAATCACATCAATTATAAACAAAATCTTATAGTGTAGAGCAAGCAAACAGTTAACATCTAGCGTTTTACCAGGTTCTCATATCCACTGCTCTTTTTGTCTAGATACCTGCATCGAAAGTCGGATAGTTCCGAAGCCGATTACATCCCTCTACAGGTGAATATTTGGAGGAAAGTACCCGATGGTGGTCGCGAGTTTGTGACACGCGAAGCTCGGTACCTCCGGGTCAGTATTGCTGGGGCGCGCAAGCTTGAACCCCCAGTGATTCGTATTTTTAGGCAGGTGAGTGATAAAGCCCTTTCAATATCAAGGTATCTGCATTTATATAGGTGTTCTTAGTCATTGAATTTGTTATTTGGCACTACCGCAGTTTGCCGGATGTAGTCGAATTTACGAGATAGAGATAAAATTAACGTTTGAGCTTCTATGGACTGAAGAAGTTGACTGTGATGACTACGAAGTCATTAAGTCATCCCTTTTATCCTAACTTTCTCATCTCTAAAGGTGAATTTGACCCACATCGGTGGCAGCTTCTCCGTTTTGCCGAAGGACTGCATCCACGTAGTGAATCCAGACTTGGAAGACCTATTAGAGGTGAATGTGACCAAGGTTCAAGGTCCACTCTACGCTCAGCTAGTCAATTTGCGCGATCCCACCCGACCTGTGTTGAGCTTTCGCATCGCCGAGCTACGCAAGGGCCTCATTGCCCTCCAGCTCCTCAATTACGCTGAGATGATTGAAAAGGTAAGGCGTTTGACTACCTCGGTTCCCTCACAAAACTTGGTCCTTTGCTACGGTTGAAAAGAAGGATAGGAAGGTGGATAGGATAATTTCTTGACGTTCATCAAATAACACTGCTGTGCAAATCGGCATCTTAAATGTTCCCACGATTCAGATGTAATGTAAATTACGAGTCCAGATTACTTCAATGCTTCCAACGAAATACAAATCTGCAGGAGTTCCTTGTGTCCGTCATCAAGACTAGACATCATTGTGTCTCCATGATGTGTCAAAGAAATTTGCCGGTTTTTGATCTTTATCCGTGAATGAAAAGTGACTGCTTTGAGCCAAAAGTAGTAGGGTCTCTCACTCTTGTCAACATTTGTGTACATTGACCTTCTATGGAAACACTTCCAAATTCTTGTCGGTATTTCGATTACAGGGGAGACACCTTAGACAGGGAAACTACAGAAAGCTAAGCACTATGTAGCCTGGAGAGCCACAGTGTTTATACTTTTATTAGAGAAATATTTGAAAAAGACACGAAGTATTACTTAGTGACAGTTTATCCAGTCGAAAGGAGATGCACAACAACAAGAGAAAAAGTCATTCTTTTACATCGAAAAAAAGTGGCTGTCATCAAGAAGTGATGTATTTGCATTGCCTTAAAAAGAAACAACAGCAGTGACTGACCATCTCTTTAAAAATAAACACTCAGTAATTTCTAAACGTTGTAGCGTTTAAATAATGAATCAACCTTCACGGTATTATATGTGTTGAAGGCTGTACCGGTGAATAATACACATTTTTCATTCGCACAGTGATGCCCTTAGGAATGTACAAAAACAAAAGTGGTGGCTTAAGTCCGAATGTGGCGTAACTTACCCATCAAATTTGCCCCAGCTCCTTTACTTATGTATTCCATACCATTGGCGTGAACCTCTTTCTAGACTCACACTGACTCACAAAGTGGTGCCTTCACTCTCTTTCGGCGTAACTTACCTTATAAAAGTTTTTTTAACTCTCTTGATCTATTTAAACCACGTAGTTTACAGTTTTATTCTAAAAAATGCTTGATATAACAGTATTTATTAAAAATTTGGTCGGTTACAAGGGGTGGGAGACTCGTAAAGAAGCAATGATGACGAAAATTAGGAGGTGTTCTTACTCCGATGCGCCTTGAACACCAGAACAACTTATGAGCTAATTTTTCGAGATTGTGTCTACTGCCTCCCCGAGACTGGGTTTACGAGATGAAAAATACTATAAAACTTCTGTCCGAGTTAACTAGACTGAAAGAATACGGAATGAAGAATGTTGCTAAGTGGCTACTAGGGGTTCAGTAGACATAACAATTTATTTAGGCCAGGTTTGCCTACTTACCACAGGCTAGGAAGTAAAATCCATCCACATTCAGACACTATGACTAGTAAGAAATACCGCTTAGTCGGACCGCGTGGTGCATATTAAAACAGCTCCGGCCGAAGTTACCGTGCACCATAGCCAGTCCTACTACCACGATAAATTAATCACTCAACTCGCTGTACAGAATCATTTTTTGCCGGGGCAATTGGGAGGTAAGATGGAGGAGAATGGGGCCGTGGTGGTGAAAAAGAGGCTGAAGAAGACAGGCCCATTGCATTCATCATGCTGCATCTGAGTGCATCGCGGCCTCTTTCTTTGATCTTATTTCCTTTATCGGTGCCGGTGGCATCAGGTGAGAGGCTCTAATGGCTAGTCTTGTGCCTCCTCACTATATAAGTGTGAATTTAAGGAATTCGGTAATCTGCTACTCGACGGAAGTGAGATTGAGGCGTTTGTTATAATATATTCAAGGTATTTATTGCAATTGTTTAAATACAATGGATTGATTTAACGATTACAATTTCCAAGACATGCAAATTCCTGAGAATTCCATGATGAGAGCTGAGTAATATTTTAAGTTAAAAGTTGTTAATTTTAAAAGGTTATTCCTTTACTGCCTCATACCTTCAAAGCGTATAAACTCATTCCTTTCCTACCCAACTCCCTACCGCAGATCTGTCCCTTCTACACCACCGAGAGAAGTTGTGCTGAGTCACCATCGAGGTCAAAGGGTCATTCCACGCGCCAAATAACTTCCTTCACAGTTTAAGTAATCACTCACTCACACATCCACGAGCCACAACGCAATAGGGACAAGTTATTAACTTAAAACATCACACTTTGTCAAAGTGACTTGATGTCACTATAGTAAAAGAAATGCATAAATTACTAATTTTGTCCTAAAGATCGTAGATGGCCTCTCTATTCCCAAAGTTAGCGACATTTATTCTCTTCCTGATAGGTGCATTTTAGCGTCCAAAATTATCTAATCAAGACTTAACTTATAACTCACGCTAGGCTGGGAAACAATGAAGCAAATGCCTTCTCTGTCTTGTTGGTTTAGATATTTACCCTCACTCTGGTGGCAATCGACCCCTTCATGCAAGTTAGCGAGCCGGTCAATCTAAGATTGGTTAGTCGTCTGCAGCCGGTCTTTCCCACTCGCCTGCTGGGCTCCTCCATGGGACACAAGCCATTCGTTTTTCAGGTCTTCTCCCTTCCCCTCTTCTCCTACACTGGAGCGCTGAGCATCGTGCAAAGGTACAACCTGCAGGTGCGTTGTGCTGTATTATCACTACTACTTGGCAGTTGAAAGTAGCTATGCTCGTACAATGGAAATGTCCGTTTGCGCCTAAGAATCACTTCCAAAGGTAAAAGTATAAGGTATTTTGTTAGATACTGATTCATAACATTAATAATAAGCTAAAATTGTTGGTAGATCTCCCTTATATGGTCCACAAATCTATGAGTTATTGAGAGATATTGGAACTAATGGCTACCCCTTCAATACCGGCGGCTGCATTGCCGGTCAAGTTAACTGCAATGATACCTTTGAAGCTGTCATCAACAGTGTCTTCTTCAAGTGGGGTCGGACGATTGAATGCCAAGTCAGTTCGATTTGCCATACTTCTTTGTAAGTTTCCTTAAAAATTGACAGTGATTGGTCTCATAAAGAACACTACCCACAAGTAGCAGATTTCTCTGTCAGACTCGTTTAAAGCAGCTTCCTAATCGTGTTTCAAAAAACAAATTAAACGTTTATCAGGAAAGGGATTTGTTTCTCGAAACTTCCGCAAAGTTTGTTCGTAATGCTACTGCTGAGTAATTTTAACTGGAATCACCTTCATCACTCTCCCGCCCCAGGTCGTGGGCTACATAGACGAGTCGATGGTACGTTTTCAAGTCCTACCGAACAGGGAAGAAGAGGAGTACTTTAAACTCTTTAACACCACGGGTATGGGTGGAGGTCACCTTCAACTGTTGGGCATGCCATTGGTGGATGGAGGCGCCACTACCCCCACCACCTCCGCCTCTACTGCATCCTGGACGCTCAACGAGATTGCAGGTCAGCAGCTGCTCTACGCTCATCCTGGCAGCCTGCACCCCACGGTAGATCGGTTTCGCCTGCACCCTATGCTTGACATTCAGCGTGCCGGCTACCACCAATGGATGAGGGTTGCGAGGCAGCGCATACGCCGAAATGCTGGCGTATCTGAGTCGGAGTTGGAACTACCTGTTCGTGTTGTGAGGCTCTATGAGAATGTGAGTGACTTTTGTTAAGAATGGGATTAAACATAATGCATAGTTTAAGGTGAGCATGATTTAACTATCCCTTAGTGATTAGGGGTAGTACACAGTATTATTATGAATATTTATAGTAGAGAGCATTGCGGGGTCTATGGAGCAAAAGCACAGTCAAACAAATAAGTAATCTGCGCAATCGCTATCCTACCTCTCAACCACGTATCGGTGTCTTTTCATCTCCATCTTTTTGCAATAAAGGCCCGAGAGAGCGCCTTGAAAAAGGATATCACAATCAATCTGCATCACGGCGCCGCCCACTGCTTTACCTCCGAGGAGCTCATCACACCATCAGCTCTCGAGGCAGTCCGTTCCGATTTCATAGATTTGAAATTTCACGTGAAGTTTCACCCCTCGCAGGGTCGTCTGATGCGGCGCTCTATGCTACTCCGTTTCGCCTTTAACAACTCAACACAACAGCGGCGTCGGAAACCACTTATTAGCCTCACTAAAGAAGGAGTGGAGGCAGTTGATGGTGATGGAGGTGTCGGTACTGCTGACGCAAAGGGGATATCGCAGATAAGTGTTATCAGTATGATTGATCTTGAGGCTGAAGAGATCTGTTACCTCGGTCTAAGGCGTGACTCGAGGGCGGATATGTTTGGGTTGCAGCAGACTGGACAAAACAACTTTCCAACTGTGGCTGTGAACATAAATATCCTTGTAAGTGTAAAAGTCGGTACAAGAACTCTATGACGCTATAGTTGTCCCATAATGCTTTTTAAGCCCTCACCACGCCTGGATTAATTTTGTAGCAGTTAAAAGGGGCTTCTAAAAGCAGCATAGTTGAGGTAAAGGGAAACTAGCAGGCTAGTAAGCTAGAATGCATGAAAGTCTCGTATCGAAGGACACATATCATTCGACTGCAGTTAAAAGCCTGTATCTCGTATTGTCTTCAAGCCAAAACCGAAGTACCAGCTGATTCGCCGCACTGACCCTAATCAGGAGCCACTGGAGGTGGCCGAGAGCGTCAATTTTGCTGTCCTTGAATCCACCAATCTATGCTACGTGGTTCGACCTACGCGACAGTGGCTGCGCTCCTCTGCCCACAACCTCATTCCATTGATGCCCAACACTACAGGCGTACTCTACAGCCTCACTTCCCAGCCTCGATTCCTTATAACACCGTCAGCAGCGACGCTTGAGAGTAGTACATCAGCAGTGTCAGGGCAGCACGGAGCTGCTGACGCAGGTCGCTTGGTCTCGCTGGCGACGATGAGCGCCTCGCAAATGGAAGGGGATATGGCTCTTCGACCAGGCCTCACTAATCTGCTTCGCGAACTAGAGCCCACAGGTTTAAGCCACTTCACGCAGGCACAAATAGATGCTGGAGATATTGTCTATGTGCCTCCGGTGAAGGATCTCGGACCTAGTGTGAGTTTTTTGGACGTCAAAGCTATTGCATCTCTCAGAGCGTACTCTGTATGACCCTTGGGCAAATTAACCTATTAATTAAAATTATCAGAAGAGCGACGACTTTTTTGAAGACCTAACGTAAAGTGTATACATTCAATTCTGATTCATGATCCCTTCGATTTCTTTACAAAAATTACCAGACTGGGAATTATTAGGGTGCCGCATGCCATCTGCAAGCAATACATACAAATCCTCAGTAGTTTTTCAAGCATACCTTACAATTGTATCCGTTTTCTTCCTAGGACCAAATAGTGGAGTTCCGCTACACGGTTTCGGCTCCTGGAATAACCCCCTTCAATGAAGAGAGTTTTCAATTTAAAGTCTTAGCTGAAGACAACCAAAAACCCGACCTTAAGGTGACAATTTTTCCCCAAAACTCATCTTAGAAGCAATTTTCCAGGGTGTCAATAAAATATTCACCCCTTGCAGTTATTGAAATCACTTGAGGTGCACAGGGACGGCGAGTTAATGATCGACAATAGTGTTTTGTATCTTTCCGATGAGGATACTTACTTCGATCGTCTAGCTCTACGAGTCACAAGGGCGCCAAAACATGGAAACCTCTTTCAGATGATGCAGCATCCAATGTTCAATAACACTAATGCAAACTATAAAACTACTGCTACAACTGCACCGCTTGCTAACCGTCGAAAGATTTCCGAGGGAGAAGAAATTCCTGCTGGTCTTATGAGAGCCGGTAAACTCAGGTAAGATTGCCATTTTATATTCAATTAACTGAGTGTCAAGCATAGGTACTCAACTTAGACCCAGCCCCGTTTACTTTTAGTTACAAGCAAGACGGTTCTAATGTAAAGGAAGACAGCTTCAATCTGACTGCTACAGACGGTCGCCAAGACTCCGAAGTTGTCAATCTCAAAGTCGCTATTCGACCTCGAGTGCTCCTTGAACCAGTGTGGAACTTACTAGTGAATAACAGCATTATTGTTGAGGAGAACTCCACAGTTATGCTCCATCCGTCTGTCTTTCCTCCCCTAACATTGCCAGCAATGCGTGGTCCTCGATTTTTTGTGGTTGTGCCACCGACAAAGGGCAAACTGCTGCTAGACAAGAAACGAAAAACCGCCCAATTTTCCACTAGTGATGTTGCTAACAGTCGTATTTCTTATCGTCACGGACCTGCAGAGATTGGAACCGAGGATAAGGTGGATTTGGTGAGGGTTTGGGACTTTAAAACGGGAAAGATATTTTCGCTGAACTTTACCCTTTTACCCGTTAATAGTCAACCACCTACTATCACGGCATTGGCACCGCTACAGGTAGGTTGAATTGCTGCTTCCAAGTTTATTTACTTAATTGATAGTTTCTAGAATAGCGTTTGTCATATTTTAGGTAAATGAAGGTAGTGCAGTCGTTCTCAGCCATCAGATCATCTCAGTGCGTGACCCTGATACAGTGGATTCGCAAATTAAAGTGAAATTGGTCACCCATCCCAAATGGGGTCATTTAGAACTACGTCCTGAGAATAATACTTCCATCGGTTCGACGGAATTTGCATTCACAGGTAGAGATCTCATCACCGGTCGTGTGTTCTACGCAAATTCTCGTCACCAAGATGGTCTTGAGTCCGTCTCTGACATCTTCTCCCTCCGAGCCTACGATGAAATGTTCCCCTCCCGTGAATCAACACCCATTCATGTGTCTATCCACCCTGTAAACGACGAAGTACCTTCCGTGAGATTGGTGGAGTACTTTGCAGTTCCGCTTAACGGTCGCCGCGTCCTCACACCTTATCTCTTCACCATAAGTGATCGTGATGTACCAAGAGACATCCTCCAAATCTCCTTCCCTCGATTACCGCGTTTTGGTCACCTAACCGTCCACTGGCAGCACGGAGAGCAGTATACCATTACAGAGGCTTCTGCACCCATTGCAGAAAGCTACTTGGGCATGATGAATATTGTGTACATTCAGAATGGTAGCGTGCAGCTTCCGGCAAGGGACAGCTTCACGGTTTCTGTCTCTGACGGTCTGCATGTGGTCAAGAAGTCGGCGTACGTCCTCTTACGTCAGGAAAACCGATATGCGCCTGAGATACGGGTGACAGAAGAAGGCGGATTAGTGTTGGAAGGTCTAGCCTGGCGGCAATTGACCTCAGTCCTGACTATATCGGACATGGACACACCAGGGGAGGACTTGGTAATCATTGTGGTACGTGCACCAAAGTTGGGTCAAGTGGAGCGCTTGCAGCGCCAGGATGTTACGGGGGTACCGGCGCAGGAGGACCTCATTGAAGCTGCAATGGATCAATACGAGGCGGAGGTGGACGGCGAGAAACGAAATACAAGAAACCTAAAGGAAGGTGATCGATTTACCAGGAGACAACTGGACACCGGGCGTATCTAGTATGAATGGCATCATGGCTCATACTTGGATAAAAACCTCCTTTATTTGAGTATTTATTGAAATGTTAAGTTTTATTTAGAAGTGCTTAAGTATGCTATGTAGATGGAGGCGCTAAACCAACCCAGTTTAAAACATTCTAGTTTTAAAAAAATAAACAATCTTTGAAGACTATACAGTCTTCGTTTACTAGCATATAAACACTAAGTGCTTTTGTTCGACAGCTATACGTATACAGGAGAGTACACACAGGCCTATGTCTACGACTTGATAACCCTCTCAGTGTCTGACGGTCAATTTGAGGCAGGCCCGGTTGACTTACCAATACGGATTAGGGCGACAAAAGGTCGAACCAACCCAATGGTTCAGTCACAGTCTTCGCTTTATGAACTACTTGATAAAGGTCGATTCGATTCCGACACACTTTTATCTGATGCAGCCTCCGAGCTGTGGGGTAAGTGATTATCGTACTAAGGTAGTAATAGGTTTAAATCCAGTTGTACTGATGAATGGGAAACAGAGAGAAAGCACTGGAAGAGAAAAATATTTCCGAACCAACTGAACAGATATTTGACTGCAACATCACTAAGCCCACTTGGCGATTTCACTGGATCCGGCTTTTCATCCTGTTTGGGAACTGTATTGAAGGAAGGGATTATGTGCAGACCATTCCGTAAGAACAGTAGCCTAAAAGCAGGGTCGTTTAATGGAGGATGGAGCCTAAAGTTGCCTCTTGAGAACAGGGTTTCGCGTCTATTTTACCTGGCTACCTCGCAATATCTACCAGCGTCCTTTTTACCTAGTAGAAAGGTGGATGTGGCATCATGTATTCGCTTATTTGACATCTTTATCCAAGTACAGTAGAAAGCTCCGTAAAGAACTTTTTAGGTAGTTTACGGCTTTCAACTGCCAATAATGTAGCTCCCCAAGACTTCCCTGAGGACGAAAGTGGTCATAACACTTAGGAAAGAATATGTGTTGCCGACGTGTAAGGAGGCTGGAGGCTACCGACGTGTCCTGAAGGCCGTTCCGCTTAAAGAGAGTACAAAGAGGGAGCCTTGAGTATCCTTAATACAAAAACGAAGAGTTGAACAAGTAATCAACGTATTACATAAGGTCCCACTTCATTAGGGGAAGTTAAAAATCATATTTGACACAGCTTTACGATATTGTTTGCAGAAATATAGTCTCTCAGGAGATACCGTGTGTCAAATTTTGCAATCACATAATTTGTAAAGATTTTTGTAAGCTCCTTGTAAGAAAATACTAGCATCTTCTGTTGTTTGCAGAAACCAAGGAGCAAAAGACAGAGGAGCCTAGCATATTTCTGGACAATTTCAAAGTTACTGTTGCAGAGAAGATAGAAGTTGCAGCTGGTGAACGTCGAACTCTCACAGTAGATGAACATATTCGTATAGAACCGATTGGGGTGGACGGTTCCCTCGAAAATGTAAAGGAGACGCTTGCCACTGCCAATTTTCAGCACCTTGAATCAGAAATGAGTCGTCGTGGATGCATCCTCTTGGCAAGAGCCAACACGAGTTCAAATTACGCCTTGACGGAGTTCACTTATAAGGATGTTGTACACGGTCAGATAATGTTAAATGTGAGTAGAAATGTCTTAGTTACTCATGCTAGTTTTCCTCATGGAAAGGGAAAAATCTTCTTGCGTTTTAGGCTGAGTCGTGTTTTGGAAAATCACCACTGGAAGGAGCAATCAGTCTGCTGTTGTCGATTCCCCTACAAAAGCCTGTTTCTTTCACCATTCCAATTAGGATAATTGGTGAAGTGGACCATTTTCCACGGCCAACAGTCGCCATCGGTCAGCCCATTTCGATTATTCCAGGTGCTGACATACCACTCACGTTAACACATCTGAATCTCTTTTACACTGGTATGGATCCCACAAAGGTCTATTTCTATTCTTCCAATGGTCGCTTTCACTGGAAACATGACTGTAACGTCACTGCTAAGGTCTTCTCCTTCTTCAACATCATCCATGATGACATAGTCTACCATCACACAGCTGATGCTACTGCACCCCGCCTTATTCTCGTCAATCTAAACCACCTCGAGGTCGATTTCAACGCCATCCAGATCGAGCGCTTCATTGAATCGATTATCCCACTCACGGAGTCCAGTCCACTGCTACAGTACCTGCGTGCGGATTCACCAGACCACATCACTTCAGAGCCAATCACTCTGCGCATTACAACTGATGACCTCTACACACATGTGATCAGCTCAGGTCGAATTTTCATCCGTGCACCCGGCCCAGAAGAACTGACACGCGTTCGAGCGGGAGAAATGGGTTTCTTCCTTACTCCCAAGCATCTTCTAGCTTCAGACGCCTCTGTAGTCTACTCACTGGATACAAAGATGCGGGACAAATGGGTGATCATTGATGTAAAGAGTGGTGAGGCGATGAACCGGTTCACGCAGGAGGATGTGAATCGATTGCGTCTGGCTCTAGTGGTGTTCTCACATCCACTGCAGACAAAAATCACCTCCTTTGGACGTCAAAAGACGAGAATAGAGACGAGAGTTAATGTGGGGTTGAGTCTTTTTGAGCCTAAATCCCGTGCTACTGAGAACATCACGTGAGTGCTTTGGATAAATCCTGTTTTGTAATTAAAGCTTGCATTAAATTGATGTCTAACCGATGTTCTTAAGTTCTAATTAATCCTGACTGACTGCGTCTGGAATACCTTTAAACCTCTTTGCCCTGATGCCGTAATTCATGGCAAGTCGAAACAAATAAAGCCATTCAGTGGTGTTCAAATATCCTTGTCTTAAATGGTGAACTCAGATGCTAAAAGCAATACTTACGGATGTGATCTAATTTATTCTTTAGTCTTAGCGTATACTGGGCCCAAGTCGGATTCGACAGAAAGCGCTACCGCATCTGTGTTAGCTCAGGAGTTCTTGCACTACCACTCGTTCGTCATGGGGCGCTCGGACATCACGTGGAAGTCTATGTCGGTTTAAACGACACCACCGATCTGAAAACTCTGGATGTCGACATTCTCTCTCCCAAATTGGTCGTTTTTGATGCAGGCACGTCTGTAGATAAAACAGGGTGGAATGACCAATACATTCAGAATATTTGAACCGCTATTTGTTGTTGTTATTACCTTTCCAGACGAGGTTATAAAGCAGGTCAGAATGCGTGTTACTTTGAGTAGTGAGATGTCATCGGAGAAACAGTTCTTTACTGTCGCCGTTAAAGCCCCATCAGGTGCCGTATTGGATGGAAATAGCGAGGCCCATATTGTGATGCTCGGTGGGTACTCATTCATTCATCATTGAGTGAAGGCATAACCCTTTCTCATTATCGTTTTTGACATTGCTATAGGCAAAAGGAAGTGTCGAAATTCGCCCTACTTCACCGCGTTCAATGTAGGTTGAAATTTTATTGTATGATGCTTCGTCATGATTCATATCGAATCCAGATCGTTTTTATTCATTGTCTCCGAACAACTCGATTTTTAGTCACGAATGTTGTGTCGATCTTGGCAACTCACGTAGACAGTCTGACACCACGAATTCACTATTTATGCCCACTTGATTGTCCGTTCACCATCCCAAATCATTTGCATTTTAAGCTTTACCTACTTTTGCTTCACCAATTCTGTGTTACCATCAGCATAGTAAAGGAATCGCATACAATCAGTAGTGCAAAAGGAATCCTTTGAATCCGCTTAAAAGACCTCAACTGATACACTTTACGCTTGAAACGGTTGCAATTTTCCTACAACAATTTTGCAGACTTCTAATGGAGTCGGAACAGGAGACGAGGTAGGACACAGTCGTCGGGTGTCCCTTCACGATTGGTTGGCCTCCAACGTCATTCCTGACTCTAACGCACTCAACAAGGCCTACTTGATATCCATGCAGCGACGCAAGCGTGCTCCTGCCTTTTCTTGCGACTCTAGTGAGCTGCCCTTGTCAATTGAGCTTCCAGATGATAAACTACTCACAAACGAGCCATTTTTTGGGGGTTCTTAAAGGACTTCGTGTATGGTCATTCGTCATGTTGAACAGCCAAATGTGTTTGGTGTTTTCCTATCACTTTATCTTTATAGTTATCCAATGGAAAGGAAAAGTAGGTGAAACCCGCTCTATTCTGACCATCTTTACCTCAGAAGCTCGTTTTTAGTAATCGTCTCTATTCTACTCTATTCCACTCTAGGTTGGACACTGTATCAAAGTCGGTGCTACCGATTCTTCCATCACGAAAACCTAACATGGTTGGAAGCACGCGATCACTGTGAGAATGAACGAGGGTACTTGGCTAGCGTTCCTGATGCAAGCACTAGCACCTGGCTAAAAACTCTTCTTGGTTCCTACTCAAGCCGCCTCTGGATCGGTAATTACACTTTCTACTACCCGCTTTATCAACTGACAGATAGTTGCTGAACGAACGCACATTATCTCTGCCATTTGTCACAGGCCTCCACAAACCAGTGGCGAATGGAGCCTGGCTGTGGCACAGCATGGAGCAGACTAACTTTGTCAACTGGGAGTCGGGTTACCCCAAAAACCTGCGTGGTAAATTGCCGCGCCAAACCAGTCATCTGCGTCGTCGTCTCTTCCGTCGTCACCCATCACCTCCCCTTAAAACAGCAGAACATACGGTATGGCGTAGCACCTCTGCCTATGGTTACAGCCGCTCGCCTCGATCGGCGTCCAATGGATGGCACCAGCGGGAGGCCCTGGGCCAGGAACTTGGTTTGCAAAGGTTGTGTGTCAATCTAGACTCCGGACGTGGCATGGTCTGGCGCAATGCGGCATGCGTGCGGATGCCCCAATTACCTTTTGTGTGCATGAAGAATCCCAACTGACGATACGACTCTAGGGGGATGACACTTACCTGTATGCGCGTTTATCAAGTTTCTTTTTGTATAGGATTTTTTTGGTATACGTCACGCATTCACCGATCATCCTTTGCCTCCGCTTGGTTTTCACCTCTCCATCCCTACATCTTTCCCTCTCCCTCACTTCACCCAATTTGATTAATGTAACCGTACTTCCATTGTTACTACTTGTTCGATGACAAAATTTAACACAATAAATATGCTCTTACCTCAAAATACTAGGCATTCCTTCACACGCTTCCATTCAACACTAAGTGTGGGCAAATGCGGTGCAATTTTATGCAACAAACACGTTATACTCCCTAAACATGATATCCAGGGATTGTCACATATGTCCAATATATTTCCTTATCTATTGGAATTAGGTAGGCTTCACTTCAATGCCTTCATGGTAGAGTACTTTTCTCCCTTTCACGGCACTTGAATGTTATCAACTCAGGCATTTAGTTCTGTATAATCAAATATGGTGCATACTTTTCTGTTGTCCAAATTACATCATGATGGCGTGGAGGGACACATTTAAAGCGAAGGCAATTCAGCTTCAACTGCATTGCGTGATTAAAGAGATCCGTTTAATCCTTGTGTTATTACGGTAGGCTCCTGGCGTCTCTGCAGTTCTTCATAGTCTATTGCCGGTCTGCGCCGCAAAATTTACGAGTTTGTTAGGAAATGTCACCACACCTGTTCCATATACCATTTTAACAGGTCTTGTGCACATCAATCTGGCACTTGGGTAGGCCCATCACCTTCGATTGCAGGCAATTATTTTGAGTGACCAACAAGGGGACAATCATTCGGTATTTTCGATCCTACCCGCATCTGTATTTCACAAAAGAAACGAAAAAAATGCTGAAGAAGTTTTGTATATAAGATGTGACAAACGATAAGCTGCATGAGAAGTAAAAGTTAGATGGGAAGATGTGCCTTGAGAAGAGGAAATATTCTTATGTGCAACCATCACACAGCTTTATCATAACTGAAATGTACCGCTAGAGAAAAATTTATCTGCCTAATGATTAGCGATCATAGGTGGAGGGAAAGATTTGCTATTGCTATTGAACCAAATCAATCTGGATAGCACTGCACTGTTATCATCTTATGGTGTGCGATGAGATGTACAAATGCGTGGGTCAACTTGAGCCGTAAACACATGTATGGTGCTCCAGTCAAACAGCAGTGAGGAGATAACCTTCCTTCCTCGAATTCTAGGGCAGAATTTTCAATTACCAGATAGCACCGAACATTGGCTATCCACTCCGACGACTAGAAATGGCTTAAAACCCCCCTTTAAGTGAGACGATGCTACTAGTGCACTCGTTGATTGGCATTTAAAATGCGCTGCTTTTAAGAGTTAAAATCAAGTTTCAGTCGAATCGATGTGACAGCACCACATTATGGGTTAGATTAGGTGGATCTTTGTACGGACCAGTATATACGAGCTGAGGAATGGAGATTGTTTTGTACTTAGCAACCATATTATTACAGTAGTGATTCTCCCCATCGGCAGATACAAGACCAAAGTTGATAGGTGGGTGGTTTCTTTCGCTTCAGTGTGATGCCACCACCACATCTTACTTACCACTTCCCTGATGTCCATTATACGCATTTGCTACCACATTCACAGATCCCTTTTCAAAACGTCTCTGCAAGTAAAGTAGAGAAGTTCACCCTATCACAAATGTATGGCATTTTGCGATTACAGTGAAGCCATTGCTCAACAAAGAAATCCACACATCGAACAAACACTTCCCTCAATGCACCTCGCCTCTAATTTCGCCCATCTCATTCATATCGCTCCCTCTACCCTTGCATGCCAATTTATTTATGCAAACTTAAATGTAGGAACTGATTGGAATTTCCCTCCCTGCATTAACAGGCGTGCATGTTCCAACGTCTGTGTGAGCCTATCACAGTCCCAGTTTGGCCTTTGTCGATGAATGTGCAACTATGGTTTCGTTTTATCTCGCCTTTGTACATTGTTTATGATCATTATGTGCACACTCATTTGGAGAGAGGTGGCTGCAGCGAGCACGTAGACTTCCCATGGGTTAGCCAAAACTAGACGTAATAAAATCCAATCTAGTATTTAACTGAGACTTGTAACCCCTGAAAAATGTCATAACAGCAGTACTAGACAGCATAGCTCTTTTCCCGCACTCTGGAAGGGGAAGTAAGACCATTTTTAATCGCCACCTCAAGAAACCTAGACAAACTTTTACTTATCGCTGAGACTTGAACCATATTCCGCTTTACATGGCATGGCAATCAAATAAAATGACGCTGCGGGATTACCATTTTAACGACGCGCCTCAGTGACTTGACTGGAGTGTAGTTTTATCGTTTTTGAGATTGATAGATTCACATTTCTTTTGTTTGCTTTATGCTTTGATGTAATCAAACCGCAATTTAAACGCCTTCAACGGAACTGCGAATGCTTGAAATGTCAACCACGTGGAGTAGAACATAGCTGCAATAGCACCATCGAGAGGGTTTAAGAAAAATACTGAAATTTCAGCTGGCAATTTGGCCAGTTTCTGGCCTCAATTGTTTCATAATTTAATGCAATTGAGGGCCACGTGTACCGGTCTCGACAGTGATGCCGAAGATGGTGACTACCGACTAATAGATCCCTTGCATGCGTATGTAACGAGAAGTTGCAATCTCACCCAAAGGTGAAGTGGTGCACGTCGGAAAGTGGGATGAAGGAAGTTAGCCTGAGGAGACAGGGTGAACTCTATGTCATACGTGGGAGGTAGTCCAACCATAAGGCCGATCCGTACATCCGCATTTACAAGTACAAGCTGTGTGGGAATTAATGACTCCGTCGTGTGTTCTTTGTGTGTGCGTGTGAAGCGATTGACATTGGCTGACTGGAAGCGGTAGACATTGACGTCAAAATGGAAATGCCGGTTTGACCCACTGACAGACTGGCATATACAATTGGTGATCAGACAACCCAAATTGAGGAAAACTGCATCATAACTGCACAATATTCGCGTCAGTATTACACGAATTATAATATTGGAGAAATACTCCATTCAAACTCGTTTTTGAAGTGCAACTGTAGGCTGTCACGCTCCCAATTGTCGTAGCCAACCTTGTCAGAGCTCTTTTGACTAACTTTGTTTTAACAGGAGTCAGGCAAATCGCATGCAACCACTTCAAAATGCACAAGACTCATGTAAACCAGGATGTCGAGAAAGACGGCATTCCTCCCAAAATCCCCTTAACTGTAGCCTTGTCATTGCTTTGGCTACACCCATGTGTGTTGTTCACCAGCCGCATCCAAGAAACGGCAATGCTTGGCGTTGCGGTTCACGCACTGGCGTCATCAGAGACTTCTCACATGTGGAACGACAACCCAATGGCATAATCGCACCAAATCTCGAGATTTCCGTCCAATTCCTACGATAGTGGTAAAAGTGGCAGTAGCAGTATTCATATTAAAAAGAGTACAAGCGGGATCCAGGCTGTTTTGAAAATCAGCAAAGCCAGCTATACGGCTGCTGACATCACATCTGTAGTACTTACTGCAGCAGCAGCAACCGGACTATAAGAGTACCTTTCTGGGACATCAAGGAGGCTTTAGCAGTTCAACTCTCGTATCTATTGACGTAATGAACAACACATTCACAACGGTCAAGGCGTTGATCCGACCCATTGTACCACAGCAGATTTTTCTCATTACAATTGGCATGCTAGCAATAGCAATGTTCTCGTCTCCTGGCTTCTCCTACTCTGCCTTTTGCCGTTTTACATTTTGCCTTGCCTCCGACACATTCTGCATGCTTGTATTCACTCGCCCCCTTAATCTGTAAAAAAAGGAGCAAAATGAACTTTTTCCGAAATGTACGCTTCCTCTAATGAATGCTATTGGTTAGGCTTTCCAATCCGATGCGATATCGCGCTCTTGCTGTATCGGAAGTTGAAGCCATTAAATGCGACCTGCTCGGGACACATCCTATTGGGATTTTCGCCTATAGCAGCAACGACCTCGTTGATCGACGCCTTTGAAGACCCGCTGACTCAGTCCCTCCTACCCACGTGTCACAAGATATCCTGGAAAAGGCATCACTGCATTTAGGAACTGCGAAAACACCGACACCCAAACCAGACAAGTCACCATATTTTTAATGCGCGCTTTACCATCGCCTTCAAATGAGGAAGCATCGCAAGCCCACACACACACGCACAGACAGACGCACCTGCACACACGTCTACGATGAAAGGGATCTAGTTTAGTTGTAAATATTTTCCTTTAAGATTGTTGAGCACGGCATAGCAATGTGCATACCTAGATACTATGTAGTGCGTCATTTGAGGACAGGTGAAGGAGAGGCAGTGGGTCAGGTGAGTGAAACGAGTAGATGAGAAACAAAGAAACTACTGCACTACACTCCTCTTCATTCACGTAAAACAGAAAATTAAAAAGTTCAAGTTGGACTGATATTTCAATTCTTCCACTTATAGATCTCGTTTTCATTCAGTAACAT